ACACAAACTGGCCGTGGAAAGACACGATATATTCTTTCGTATCAGCGCATATGGATAATCATGGACACCAATTTGATTGGGATAATGTAGAACTCTTAAGTAGAGAGAGTACCGAAAATGCCGGGTATTTCTAGAAACCTGGTAGGTACTTGAGTCATTAATTGACAAGCACATGAGTATAGACCAAATTTACTAGCTAATAAAAGGTAAATCACATAACAAGAAAGTTCAAATGCCAAGTCAATAAAACGGTCAACCAGTCACGACAGTGGTTGCCAGGAAATAAAATTGCATCATTCATGGAGAATTTAAGTGATTCATTTCATACTGAAACCTGCTCGAAGGATGTCCAGAAGGACGAAGAAAGCTTCTCAGTTAAAGCAACCGGCTCAGACAACACAACTAATTCAATGAAGTATTTATTCGGGTGATCATGTGTAAACAGTGATAACAGAAGATTGTAAGGGTGAGATATTAGAGATACGAAGGGATATTAAGTGAGTAATAGGGGATTAGGGTCCGATCTAATAAGAAAAACCAGATATTACATCGTTGCCCAAAACATTGGGAACTCTCGCACAAATTGTCAAGCAGTGTACTGATTAATTCAATATTTGATCATATTAGGCTTAGTAAGGTGGCTGTTGTGTGGGACGTCAATAGCTCAGCCAGTGCCGTACAACTGGTGAACTTGACGCGGTTTGTTTTCTATATACCTAGCTTGACTCCTCCCTATTTTAGGCTTTTCATAGTTGTATTACTTCTCATTTTTACATAGAAGGTTATTCATGTGCGTGTATTTATGTTTGATATTTCGTTATCCTGGCAGCAAAATACAACTGGGGTTACAAAATACAAAAATGTGAACGAGATATTAATTAAACAAACCTCTAGCTCGCTGCTGAATGCTAGAGGTGTGTGTGTTTTGTTTTAAGTAACTAACATATTAGCGGTATTTGATGTACTTCGCATTTTTCTGTGTGTTGTTTAAATGCCCGTTCCCAGAGTACCTAGATCAGCCACATAAGTCCAATAAGCTGAGGAATCTTTTCCATGAAATTTGCCTTCGTTTTAACTTCATTTAACCATACATCTCTCTCAGGTACACTTTCAACTAATGAAATCTCTTTATTCCGTTTCATGATCACTGTAACAGGAAGAGCCTTAATGGTAAATAACTCCCCAAAATTAATAGTCACAGCATTCATCGATGAACATTGGATGCCTACCTCACTGTTTAAGTCAACTTGTTTAGCTGAAGGCATACGGTCAAGCATCCGAGCCATATGGTATGCCATCGTGTTACTTTCGTTAGTTCGTACACGATTGTGGAGTACAATGCCAATGCTCCAAAGTACACCGCCACACTATTACAACCCCGAAGACGTTTGAATTACCCGAAAGGAGATTTCAGCATATCCATATAGATATCGTGGGACCATTGCCAACATCAAGGGGATATACACATATCCTGACAGCGATTGATAGATTTACTCGTTGGGCTATTGCATGCCCCTTAAACGACATATCTGCTGAAAACGTTGCTTTAGTTTTTCTCGACCGTTGGGTGTCAAACTACGGTGTACCAACTACTATTACATCCGACCGCGGTCCTCAATTCCAATCGACACTCTTTCGCGAACTGACGAGACTTCTGGGAGTGAAACATATCTCCACAACAGCCTATCATCCGGCAGCGAATGGTCTAGTGGAAAGATTCCACAGACAACTGAAAAGCTCCCTGATGGCGCAGAATGATACATCTAAGTGGAGTGAATACTTACCTTTGATTTTACTTGGTATCCGTTCTACTATCAAAGAAGATTTAGGATGTACACCGGCTCAACTTGTCTATGGCACCAACCTAACCTTGCCTGGACAGCTAGTCCCCTCAGCCGATTCCACAGACGTGAACATTGCCGACTTCACTAACCGATTAACTAGACAAATGCTTCAACTTCAACCAACAGCACCTCGACAATCTCCCCGAAGAGATCAGATCAACAAACATCTACAAACTTGCAAATTCGTCTTCATTCGAGTCGACGCCATCAGAAAAGGATTGCAACCTCCATACGAAGGACCCTTTCAAGTTATTAAACGTTCAGACAAACACTTTACAGTGAACAAGAATGGAAGACGAGAGACTGTTTCAATTGATCGAATCAAACCCGCATACACCGACAACGACTTCGAATCTACATCGGCAGCTGCGCAATCAAATAATCAAACATCCGATTCCACTCCACCGGCACCAAGTCTTATCCTCCCTCCATATCAAACACGTAGTGGTCGGCAAATCAGTAAACCGGCTCGCTACGTTCATTTTGAGGACTAACAAAAGAAAAATAATTAAAAATTATTATTATCTTTTTCGTTTAGACATTATCATCATGACCGTTAGTATTTCGTCGTAAACTTTGATGTTACTATCACTATTATTTATTTATATGTACCTCACCTAAAAAACAGGTATTGTCCTTTCCAAAAACTATTGATCTTTAATCCATATTTTTTTAATGTTTCTTTCCCCTCCTTAATTACTGTGTATTTACATATTTTTCTTTATACATTAAAAATCTATGTTCATGGTTAGTGCAAATTTAAGTGACATGACTTTCTATTTCAATTTTTATTGCTGAACTCATTGTATATGCTTTCAGACTTTACATGATTCACATACCTTCTCGCGTTTATGCATGTTGTAATATATCCCTATTTTTATCCAAAAGTTGCTATTACTATTATTATTTACTTCATAGTTTTACTTATCATTTTCCGGTTGTCTCTCCGGACCTCTAGGGGGGGAGCCGTGTTGAGTACGTAACAATGTGATTGTACACTTTTTGGTTACTTGTATAAATTCGAGATATTGTACATAATTTTTGTTTAAAACGCTTCTTGTTGAAATATACATAACTTCCGTGTACAATTGAAAAATACACTCTGCTGTTGGAGACTTCGTCTTCTCCCTGGTCACTTCTGCTTACTTGCTCCACTCACACCGTGTTGTATACTTCGGATTTATTGTAGGAGCCTACTACTCTCAACCGAAGACATTTCTACAACCGGAACACAGCAGCTACAGCAGACGCAGTCCAAACAATTAACGTGCCCGTGGATTATATAATTAATTTGTAGCCGAGGACTTAGACTTTATATCCAAGTAATCCTTTTTGTTGCTATAACTCGTCACTGTATTTTTGGTAATATATTGTGATTTAACACTCCACTGACTTGGATTATTACTTTTATATTTGGAATGTTAGTGAACTCTAATATTAGTCCCCTACACGATCCCTAGCTTAACATATTTATTTCCGAATATTAAATAAATAAATAAATAATTTTTTACAATATTCAAGTTGAGTACACACACACACAAATAAAATACAATAATACAAAAAATCAATAGAAAAATAAGTACAAAATAATGATTCCTAAATAACATAAGTAAGCTTCGTAAAGATAAACAAATATATGAACGTAAATTAGTCAATTAAGCTGTCAAAAATAATAGACAGAAGTGTAGAATAATTAGCACAGCACCCCATGTTGAACCCAATAATGTGTACTTTTTCTGCAGCACTGTCAGTTAGAAGTGTTTGTACATACATGTGTAGTTGTGGGTGATTGTTTATGTCATCATCTAGGGCAGCCTGTAGACGGCCGTAGGTCATATGATCAGCTGATGGATATTGGCCTTATTTTTGAAAAGACGTCGAGGTTAGGTCATTTTTCGTTGTTTTACACACTTTTTTACATATATTTCTGCTAAAAGTTGATGAAATACGGCGTATTTAGCAGAAATAGGCAATGGTGGTGTCCTTATCCGGCCGTAGCTTACAGGCAGTTTGTTGTTGGAAAAACGTACTTTTCCGTTCAGAATATGTCGAATTACTTGAAGACACATGCTATAACGACCATTTCGTGAATTTTTTTGCATTTTAATGGATTACACATGGACATGATGAGGTGGGATAGCTCGTTTTGGTAATTATTTCATTTACTTTGTTGTGTACTTTTCCTAATGCTGACAAGGCTCCTCAACATGTATTTCTTTGAGGAAAAATCTGCAGAAATACTTAGAAATTATATACGCATAGTATTTCCTTATTTTATGGCATAAACTTGACGTTTACAGATAGATGCAATATCGATTTTGTATTATTGAAAAATGTTTACTGACGTAATTATATACAATTCAATTCAATTTGAAACATATTTCATGGTTAATTATTGTGTTCACACTGATAACAATTTCTACATCTGTATAATTCGTATGTACTTTTTCAGATAATATCTACTTTCGAGAATTTCATGGAATTGGGTGATAAAGAAAAAGATACCTGCACTGTTGTCGATTTTGTATTACATGTTAATTCATTAATAAATGTATTTCTCGTTATTCGTTTGCTTATTTTACTTGATAAGACCGAATATTAGCCCTTGCGTAATTTGTGAGGTATAGAGTTTATGAGGCTATCTTTGAAATACTAAGTAGGAGCAGATATTCTGAGAAGCCTATTGGTAAAACATTATGTTGTAGTCAAATAAAGTAAATATGCCTAAATCGTAGAGGAGGTATTGCGATTATAAAGCGTTTCGAGTTATCTATCGTCTTAGCAGAATACATATACTGATTCGCGATTCATAGTCACAAAGTGAGAGTAAATCTACCTGAGATAGCTTGCTTGTGATTTCTGCATGTCGCAATGTACCATAAGGAGAGACTATACCTATGCTGTTAGATGTATAACTCAGTGCAACTACGGTTATCGTAATAATTAAAAACAGAATGCCTAGGGTTCTCAGCCATATAATCACGTAAACAAAAGTCTTCCAGACGCCGCATTTACTCCTAACAGTTTACCCTCAACTTCTAACTTAGCACGTGCTACATATGTTACTGGAACACAATCGCATTACAACAGAAGGAAGACAGATTCATTGAAAAATTGTTTATTAAACAAAAATCAGATTTCAAATGTACAGATAATTCAGATGAGTAGTCCTCTGTTACCGTCAGTAAGTTCCATCTGCGTACACGGCACACATATGTTTTTCCATAAGTCTGAAAAGGTTTAAGAAAAGCATAATTAAATTGGGTATTACATGTATGATCTGAATAAAAAAATTTTCCCGATAAGCATTTACAAGTAATCATTTTACAAACAATATATATATATATGAGTAGCCCAATAGTTTTCCCTAAACTTAAGGGACTTCGCAACTTATCGTTGGTCGATGTCCAGTAGGTCCATCGAAGCATCATGAAATGATAAAATTATTTAACGACAAGTTATGCAGTAGTTTTCAAAGTTTGTACAAATATTTTTGCAAAAATGACAACCACTTTATGACAAACAATAGGTCTTGAAAGCAATAATAATTACATTCATGATCATAGTGACTATAAAAACAATAATAGGTATTATTATCGCCACGAATTCATCATTAACTTAGATAGGCAACTAATAATAATACAATCATATCAAATAAATGTATCACTTAATCTTAAGAAGCATGAGTTTACTTACTTTCACTGTATTCTATCAATACTGATGTGCTCAACAAGCCTATTCCAACTGAATTTAAGATTAATTCTGAAATTTCACTCACTTAAGTGAGTGGAGATCCAGTTTGTGTCAAATGAAAACATGTAACTTACATGTATTACACTGCTTACTGAGACATCTGGTACCTGCTTTCAGATCTTCGTGACAAGAACACAGTTTATCTATATTTACCTACATATACAAAAGTATACGTATATACTGCATCAACCATCCCGTTTTTATCATGAATAGCCAGACCACTGTGTATATTATACTTATTTAAGGATCTCTGAAGATAATGGTCAAGCGATAATTGAAGTTGTGTGAAGTTATTACTTCTTCAGAACGTTGTTTGCATTCTTGACACCCCTGAGAAGTCCTTAGATCTTAATTTAGCATGAATTCGTTGAATTCAGCAAATAAATCCACTGCTATATCATTTCTTTCCTGAGCTGTAATAATTTGTGTTGTCAGTTATCTCTCTAATTTGATAAAACGCTCACGGAAATTCAGAACTTAACCAAGCAGCAAAATGATGTTTGAAATTACCTCAACTCGAATGACAAACTGGCCAATCACGAGCGAGCGAATCGCTTGTTTATCTCATTTGCGGTCACTCAAAATTACGGCCGTCTACAGGCTGCCATCATCTAGCACTCCGATTTGGTCTCGAAGTATAATTCATAATTTGGCCGATCGCTTCTTGTGTTTTGCTTTGCCTTTGGTCCACGCGGAACAAATACTGTAGAAGTTGTGGGTGTTATATCTTACGTTAGTATACTTCGTACTATCCACAAACGTCATCACGCACCCTTCATCTCCTAAAGAGCTATTTGAAATAACTCTGAGCACCCCGCTTGGCAGTGTCGATATTTCTTCAAATGTTCCAATATTTCACTCCAGATCCGTGTAATACTGCTATGATATTTGCTCGTCCCCTTTGACTTTAGCCCTAATATTTGTCGTTTCGCCTTTGGTATTCATCGTGGACCGCCTACAATAGGGAAGATTTTGTCTATCTGGACCCCAGGTGTAGCCAAAAAACGACCGCATGAGATGCGACCGTCTGTTCGAAACGTCAGTACTCTAATATAACTCATTCAAATATAATATTCTTCCTAAATCGTTGCTGTTGACTCTTATCGCCGCATCGTAAATATTATGTACCAGAGAAATCTTCGAACGGTAAAAGCGTTCAGTGGCCTTGTTCAAATATTCTTGTATCTTTATTATAACTTTCTGCCTTATAAAACCACAGATTCTATTTCCTTAAATCACATTTTGTCATTTCGAAGACATAATCTTTGATTATGCATGACTCAGGCAAACTTGATAGACTATACAGCAGGACTCAGTAATTTATCTCTATGGTAGTGACTTAGTTCAGTTGAATCATTTTTGATTTCACACTGAAATACATTCGGCAGTCAAAGGTTAAATAAGATAGTGGGTAAGAAAGTACTACAGCGTGTTAAGGTTGGTCAGTCTGGCTAAGTATCGGGTGATAGCAAAACACCCCTTTTCCACAAGTGTAATCCTCTTTCTATATACACTACTTAAGCTATTTATATTTCGGTTATTTTGTGAACGTTTATTATCCTCAACGAGTAGTTTGTCCCTTTCCGTCTGAAAATGCTGTCCGATGAGGTGTTTCTTAGTAGTCGTTGGTCTTAATAATTACTGCACCAAATGAGGAACCAAAGCCAAAAATACGTTTCTCAAATAACTGTGTCTGCAGGGACTGCGACAGGAGGTTTATTGAAACTCAATACCCTTACATAGCCTCCGCTATAAATTAGCTGACGGAAGCAATTGATAGGACAGTCGGTACTACCAACACGAACAATTTCTATTAGCGGTTACTCACACAAGGAACCTTGCCCCTCTTAACAAGTGATTCGTCGAATTTTGAAGCTGAGATTGACACCCCTATTTGATACTGGGGATTTCTTAGCACTAAGGAAGGAATATGTATCCGTAATTCTCCTTGAAACCACAGATCTCTCTGGTATAGCAGGCCTGCTTTCCATAGCGGGAGCAGAAGCTCTGGAACTAGACAAGCCGAGTTTACACTGCGACAGCTCAGAGGACCCTGTTCTGTCTACATCAACAGTCCGCCACTTCCGTGCTAAGTGTCAGCATCCTGGAGGTATGTTTCTTGGTTGATTTTGAGGCGGGAAATAGCATCATTCAACATACGACAGGAGAGCCTTCACCCACCTTCCCTACATCTGTATGTCAACAAGAGTTCTCCATCTGTGATTTACGCTTGAAGATTCCCCGGCATAAACTTCATTTTTCTTTCCACGAGATCTTCATTGGGGTTAGTGGGACCATCTTAGTTATCGGTATGAGTCTCTCACAACAGTATAGTCTGCACTGCGCAGGAATGGAAAGTTGTTTAAGAAGTCTGGCGTCATTTTTAAAGACTAGTTTGGTGACCTGTAGATGGAGGATCTGAGTCACAATGCACTTGGGGACTAAGTGACACTTTTATTAAGTGGTTTACATCTGGTACCGAAGATGGCATAAACTGTTAGCGTTGCGCCCTACAAGTCTTGACTTTTTGTCGGATCCCCTGATATTCGAGCTACCAGTCTTCCAATCTTTCACATTTAAGTAGCAGCACTCTGACTTGTAGATCTGTTGGCTAAATGGAAGCGAAAGGGCATTTATCGAACGGTTTCATAACCATTGATCACACATCCCTGCATCTATCAAACTGATGACTTAGCATGCCCTAACAGCAGCGCTATTTGCAGTAATATAGTCCGTTGCTGTGTTCATATAGTGATGTTGTCACTATTAGATTATCGTTATTCCCTTGGGTTCCGAGTGGAGTGCAGGGCTCCAAAAGTGCAATTTCACTTTTTCCTTTTCTCTGAACTCCTCTCTAGCCGCACCCAAGATTGCCCATAGTTTCTAATATCCTCCTCACATGATCTCTCCTGCGACACTCTTGGACACTCGCCCAACTCATCTTCTTCCATTTGGGTTTCACTCTAGGGGTAGCTTGGTGTGCTATGTCATCCAACAGTCTCCTCGATGTGTGGCCGGCCCATCGCCATTCTCTTCGGAATATTTACTGTGCAACAATTTCCTGGTTGGTTTGTTCTCAGAGTTTTATCCCGCTAAGTCCTTTCGGTCATGTGATCCTCAGTATGGGGCCAGCGACGGGGGCTGTTGAAGACATTACATTAAGCAAACTGAATGGCTTCAGTGACGTCTAGTTTTCATCAGGCTTATTTGTCAATAAGTTACAAATCGGAGAGTTTTTATGTTGTGTTCATTTGGTCGACTTAAGAGTTCTTACAATGCTGTTGTGGTGAATGTTGCTTGACAGCCGTATCTAGGCTGTGGGCTTCATAGTCAAACAAATAAAACTACGTCTTCATGATTAAGTGCTAGCTTGTGTGGCTAGCTGCATAAGAAATGCTTCGTCTTTACTCATATCTTAGTGTTATACACATCTAGTGGTTATCCGTCTCATGAAAGACAGTTTGAGAATTTCTACACTTATTTAGAAACATCTTGCAAACACATAAAAGCCGATGTAGATGTTCACAGAAACGCTTTCATGGTCATGAAATCCTCTTTACAGCTTAAGTTTGCTTGAATTTAACCCATGTGGTATGTAAAATATGGGTATGGCTGCATTCATAAGGAAAACTCTGAAAATTACCATTCAGAACAACTGGATCGTTGGGTAAGAGGGGAGTAGTTTCTTAAGCCAACTGAGCTAAATATCACTGTAAATCTACCTTGAGAACAGGATGGATGCCTAGAAAGGCCAGTGGGGAGAATCTGTTCATGTGACGTTGTCTGCAACTGTTGGAGTATTCTGAAGTTGGCGATGAAAATTTTCTGCAGGACGTATGCGTGCGAGAAAATTCAAAAGTTTCTTGAAGTTAACTGGTTCAGATTGCCGGTCTAACTCGGTTATCATAGCAGAAAGGCACCTGAACTGTACTGACCATCTTCCTGTGAATATTCGACACGCCATTTTGACAGTTAATAGTTTCTGGCCAGTGAGTGAAACGATTTATAAATGTACACGCTAATGGTCTTTTGGAGATCGGAATTATTCATCATTGTCAAGAAGAGAATTAGTACAGAGTGCATTCTGTATGTAGAGGGGTCCGAATAAATGCTGGCATTTGATACAAGCACGCGTCCAAACTTTATCAAAAGGGGTTAGTGTGCAGCCGGACAAACCACTCTAAGAAAATTTGTCTGTAGCATCAACACCAAGAGGACTATCCGATGAAAATAATTGCCACAGAATAGTCATTATTTCACACGACTATTGATGGTAGTAATAATATGAGTAAAGTGAAGTGTCAATCTTATTCATCAGGACTTTCACTACTCCCTCTGAAAAATGTCTGTTCGCTTACCTCAATACTAGGGGAAGAGTTTACTTACCTGTTTATTACTTCGGTAAAATAGTATGGGGCGTTACGTCTAATATTTTACCTTCACATACCATATATGTGCTTTGTGTACCCCATTACATTTTTGTCTAAGTTAGACAATTTTGGGCTGCCGTGTATTTTCTGTTTGAATGCGCATTTTCCGTAACGGAGAGCCTTCGTATGTTTAGCCATTGTGCTCTTGATATTTGGATGCCAGATAGTCTGATAAGTGGAGGTTTTTACTAAAACTGCCTGGTATTTTTCGCTAAATAAAACAGTATATCTTACAGTATCCTCAACTGTTTTGGTTTAGACACAAATCTCTTTGGAGGAGTTTGGTTTGTTTTGAATTCTGAGTTGAAGAATACGAGCGTGTGTATTCATCGAGAGTTGTTCGTGCAGCGGGTGTGGCATAATTTACTGAGAAATATTCGACTGAATAAAATTTATTTTGAATTTCCCCATAATTGATTCTGATCGACCGAAATGCTTTGTCCCTACAGAAATGTCATCTTGTAATGCGTACGCCTAAATGCTTCGTGGGAGAAAGTTTAAAGCACAGAAGAAATGAACTTATTCGTCCATGGAGTCAAGAAGGCTGTTTAATCATAGGACGGTTAATGCCTACTGGTAAAAGCCCTTGTGAAGCTAGTTGGTCTGTAAGTTGAAAGCAAGATTAAACACTGAGACATACAACGTCTACATCACGTCTGAGACCGTCTGCGGTGTTTCGACTAGAGAAGAAATTGGATGTAGTATAACGGTGTTAGGATTCGATTGTTGTAAACACATAAGAGAAAAGCCCGCCCTGGTTGTCTAGATGAAAAAAGCAGGCTGATGGAATGGGTATCATAATGTCATGAATAACGTCAAAAGCTCTGGTGCAGAGAGGACTAATCTCCCTCAGAATCATCAAAGATTTAACTCAATAAAAAGGAAAGTTACATTAATAAAATGCTGTGCGCGTACAAACAACGCAAGGGAAAGGGGAAGGCGTAATTTCTCTGAGGGCCGCAGGTAGCAATAAATAAGACCTCAAACTGAATCTTCGAGATCATGGTGGGTGGCATGAATGCCGAAGAGTAATCAGGCAATAAAGGACTGATCAGCAATGAAAATGTGTCACGGGAAGACTATATTCCACTCGGAAGGCCAGGTCTGAGTAACAATAATAATGAATTGTTCTCAAATATAGCGTTTATGCAGTGCAGGAAATGCCTGCTTTTCTGTATGGTATCCACTTGCGTCGTTAACGCGGGATATTATGACAAAAGATGCACACGTCACATCTTTCATAGCTGAGAATCCTTAGGAGTTTTATGCTGCATAACGTGGAAAAAATAGTGCAGAAACCATGGTACAGACATATAAGCAATTAAAGTCCGGGAGGCAGAAGGGCTGGATGGAATTCCTAACGAAGCACTCAAACCGGACCCAGGGACTGTAGCAAATCTGCTAACGCAATCACTGCAAGAGTTTGGAAGGAAAGGTGCCCACTGGTTGGGAGAAAGGCTACCTCGTCAAGCTACAAAAGAAGGGAAACTTAAGCCTCTGCGAAAACTGACGCAGAATAACGCTCTTGGAAAAGCCTAGTAAAATACTAAGTTGTATCGTATCGGAGAGAATTAAAGATGCACTGGATGCGGAACTCCGCCCCCCAATCAGAACAAGCTGTATTCAGGAAAGGCAAACCATGAATTGAACAAATTGCAACTCTTCACATCGTCACCGCAAAACAAACATCTTTCTGAACTACATCGACTTCGAAAAGACCTTCGACAACGTTGACCGACAAGCAATCTGCAAACTATTTCAACTCTACGGCGTACAGTGCCTGAGTGCTTATCAGCCTCATTCAACAGCTATATGGCAGTGCCACGTGTCAGGTGATCCAAAAAGGAAAACTCAGTGAAGCCTTTAAAGTAAGGATGGGAGTAAGACAAGGGTGCCTGTTATCACCAACAATATTCATAAGTGTGGTGGACCGGTCAATGCATCAGACCGTGGGGAGTGAGAAGATGGGAATACGCTGGACTGACCGACAGGAAGATTCAAGATCTCGACGATTTATGTTTAATGTCATGCAGATTCGATGACTTAAGTTTGAAAACCAACGAGTTGGAAGAAGAAACAACGAGAGAGGACAGGACTGCAGGTGAACATGGAGAAGACAGAGTTGATGAAATCAACCAACCACCGCAACAAGCACTAATAACTATCAACGTAATACCATTGAAAGGGGTCACTCAGCATAGAGAGCAAGTTTCAGATTTCCAACACAAATGTCAAGTCAGTTCTTCTGTACGGGTCAGAAACTTGAAGTGTACTTCACGAAAAGCATCTTGAACAGGTTTCAGACTTTAGTCAACAGCTTTCAGCTTCACTGAGTCCATATTGAAGATCAAATGGCTGGCCAGAAAGAATTAGCAGCAAGAAACTTTGGTAGCGAACCAACCAAGAGCTGATCGCTCAACAAACATGTAGGAGAAAGTGAAGGTAGATCGAGCATATGTTGAGAAGGCGGTTGAAAACATTTCGCTCAATGCAGGCCGTCGCTCGTGTGGAATACCAATGGGAAATGATGAGTGGGTCGTCGGTGCGAGGTTGACATAGGGGAGATCGTGCGAGGTGGAGATAAGAGATTATGGATAATCATAGACCCATATGAAGAGGACATCAACAAAGAGAACAAAGCGGATATGTGATGTTGAATATAATAATAATAAAAACAGCTTTATTCCAAACAGTATTTGTGTTACAGGTATGGAATTTTCAGCAGGCATTACAATATATTGCATCTAATTACCTCATAAATTTTATAAGATTTTTAAAATAAAAAACAGCGTAGCGTTTACATATCGAACAGTGCACCACAGGATATGAAATATAAAGTTGGTGTGTGATAGAAGATGAGAACAACAGTGTAATAGTAATAAGGAAAGGAAAACCAAAACTAATAGGACTATTTGTTAGAGTGCCTCAGTAAGTTTATCGTGTCATACCTAACGGATTTCTCATCACATAACAGCTGTGCCAGATATGGTATTGTGGAGTTTTTGTATTTGGTAGTCCTAGCATATACCCGCCTATAGCTGCTTCTAGTTCTACCAGATGAAATGCAAGGAGATAGATGCGTATAGAGAGGATTCTCGGGGTCCGACAATATTGTATTCGCTAGTTTCTTACATGACATAATATGTCTATCTACAATAGTGTTCACCAGTTGGTTTAACGATATCCCACTTGCCCTACTAACAGCTTTTAGTGCCCTTCTCAGCGAAGCAAAGTCTTTCTTAAGTAGTCCAGGAAAGACTAATGGGGAGCAGTAAAGGGGGATGGGTAGAATACAAGAGTTTACAAATTGAGAAAGTAAAGACTGCTTTATACCAGACTGCCTAAAATTCCTAATGTAGAACGTTAAGCGAAACATCTTTCTAGTAACTAGCAAGATGTGGGAAGACCAGGAAAGATCGGTGGAAAAACTCAGCCCAAGGTACTTGACATTAGATGTATTTTCAACCTCTGTGCCGTCAATGATATTGGGGCCATGTGAGCTAACTAGTTGTTGTAGGTCAGATTTACGTCTGAAAGTGAAATTGACTACCTGACATTTAGACGGATTAAGCTTAAGTCCGTTTGAAGAGGACCACTGACTAATTTCCGACAGAAAGATATTTAATTTGGAACAATCTGACTGAGGGTTGACAGGCATAGAAACAGAGAGGTCATCGGCATACTTAACAAAAGTGGCTACATCAGAATGAGGCAAGTCATGTAAGAAAAACAAAAACAGAAAGGGAGAAAGAACAGCACCTTGAGGAACACCAGCTAAAGTAAGTGAGGTAGTGGAGGACTTTCCGTTGTAGACGGTGTACTGCTTCCTATCAGAAAAATAGGAATGTAGCCACTTATTTTTCCAGCTCTCAGTCTGTGTTGCAGCAGGCTTAATTAGCGAGAGAGACCTAGGAACATAGTCAAATGCAGACGTGTAATCAAGAAAGGCACAGCGAACGTATTTAGCTAAACTAGAGACTATACTATGATGTAGGACAAAAGCGGCATCTAACGTACACCTACTATGTTTATAAGCAAACTGATTGGAGTCGTTGAAAGGCTTTAAAGAGGGTTCAAGATTAAGTAAAATAAGTCTTTCCATAACTTTCAAAAAAGGTGAAGTAATAGCAATGGGTCTAAACTTAACATTAGGTCCACTTGTTGATTTAGGCACTGGAACGATCTTGATGTTTTTCCATGATTCAGGTATAATACTTTGGAAAACGATTCGTTGAAAATGTCATTTGAAGCCCTATGTTCCACTAGGAACCCAAAATAATTATAATTTAAGGACGTACGTTTATAAGATACTTTGAACTTACGGAAGCATTCAGTCACGTTACTCAGCAGTTTGCATGTGAAGAGTTAACTACAGGGTTAGTACAGAAAATCTACTTAAATAGACTAGGTGTTCGTAAGTTGCAGCTATTACAATTTGGTTATTTTTTGTGCGTGACGGATTTAGGATATTAGGCAGGGCACGTAAAAGGCCTAAGTTCGTTGGTCGGCTCATCGAAAATGGACATCTCATTAATCCTTGGGTATTGTCTGTTAAATTCTGCTAGTAGATAAATTTGTCCTGTGAATAGTGCGAGGATCAGCCAGTGTGCATGATACTAGTCGGTACGAAAATTTGGCTTCACTAGCCCATATTCTTCTCTTTGAGAATGAAATAAGATATGATGCACTACGTCCTGTATTTAGTATCCAGCTGAAAATTAAACGTCACCTGGACTCAGGACAAAGCATCTTTGTATCTCTTCATGATGCAGAAGTATGCAAGGAATGTAAGTTAGCAGTTGAAATTTATATTGGAACGCTTCTCATGTATAAATTTCTCGGAATATAATCATATCTTCCATTGGATCTACTGGACATTTCTGGCGGGTGCTTTATCAGTTGTGTTACAGTGCAATGGCTTTAGGAAGGAAAAATGCGGTGAGTTTATTTGTAATTTCCTGTTATTTGAGAATTAAATCAATTCAGTCAATGAGAATCGTAGGTAAATTTAGATGGTGGCGTTCCACGTAAAGATAAATGGAAGGAATCCAAGTGATATATAGCATGTCACTCGAACGACGCCGTAAAGGTCATATTTTCTTTGTGGTAGGCGAGAGATTCATGGTGTAAATGTTTCTCATATGCTTAGTTTTCGTAAGCATATAAGATAGTGTGAACACTTATCTTTTCAGTCCTAAATTACGACTGCGTGGCACATCTGCAGGAAAGTTGCAGTCACAATATAGTGAACAGTTCTTAAACTGTTTCTCTTAACTCTGAATTTGAGTGATTAAGTATGAGCCTAAAAAACTGCTGCCACTGACAACTGATGGAACTGTGACCTACTTGGTAATTAAAATGCAGTTTTAAGTTTTAAATGAGGACGTATTTTGGAACGGATCAGTAGGAGTAGACATATCAATGCTGGAATCGTTTAGAAGATACAAATCTTTATTATGAAATGTCTTACGAATAGGTAAACGGTGGTATAGCTGCCACAAAAGCTATCACTCAACTGCCGTCTGTTATGAACAATACTCTAACTTCCAAAAAGCTACATTAAGCATGGTACATTTAACGCATACTAGCCTTAGTATATTCTCACGAGGGGGTTTGAGTGCATTTTAGAGTGAATCAGATAAAAATACCCTTCAGTGCTTTGCTGTTTTTCAAACGATTTAGGGTTGTCTTCTCAGCACTTTTATTCAAAGACAGAATATGGCAGAAATACACTTGTCTAGGTCTGTCTCTGTTTGTCTGTTTTCGACATAGAACTTTGCACAAATGTGCGGAAGTTCAAGTTGCCACACTCCGTGTAGCACGCGAGGCAAGAGAAGAAAGTACAAGAAAAGCATAATAGAAACAGTGAGCAGAGGTGTGAGACAAAGGAGTAATAAAGAAAAACAAAAGTTTCATTGGAGATCATAAGTCACAAGGAGTGGATGCATCTTGTCTAGGAGTAACCGGAGTGTTTATAATCAAGACAAATTTCCACAGTTTGAGAATTTATCCTGAAATAATGGTACATTTTTTGGATTAAATGAAGTAGGAAATGGTCCACACTGCGTGAGAGCTAATTTCTAGATAGGTAGGTAGGGGCGCCTGGGTTTAAACCTATAATAATGATACCGAGGAAGTGTTTTATGAAAGGGATTCGACAAACAGTCACCTTGGGCGTTACATTTTGCCATACCCAGTAGTCATGAGGTAAACAGCGTCGTAGTACTTAGACTTCGTTTCTTAACTTTCTGTATGTATGAGTCGGTTCTAGAGGCGTATACACATCAGTAACCACACGAAATTTTATCTATAGATACAGTAATAGAAAGCCTTCGAATTAAAAAAGGTGCGTTTGTGTAGTTAGATGTTAATTTTCTTACCCGGAAGTACTCTGGAAAAATCGTGATCTTCCGTACTGTGCCTGAGAATGATTATTGTTATCAGTCCACTCATGAACTACATTTCTTGATCCTAATAGAAGTGAGACGCTACTATATCCTTCTTTGAAGGGTGTTGAAGTCTTCTGTGGGTGGTATAATAATGAGCTGTTTCTACTTTAGACTGTCCTCAGATTCCTGTTAGAACTCAGCTAACTGGGACTCATTTCTCAGGTATTAGGCTGCATGTCACAGTCGCTGGGGGCGGAGCATGATTCGAGTACAAGACTTACTGTCTAAAAGCCAAGTGCTGAAGCCAGTGAGTCACATTTCCACATTTGGTTATCTGGAATAGACTTCTCATGCATTCGCAACTGACTGACTGGCTGAATAGTTTCACGTTGAACTTTGCACAGACGTGCAACAGTTCGAGTCGCCACACTCTATACAGCACACAATGCAAGAGAAAAGAGTAGAGATTCAAAAGAGATAATAAACAGAAATATGACGCAAAAACAATAGTAATGTAGGAGAGAGATAGTTCTATCGGTTATTATAAATCACAAAGAGTGAATGCATTTGCGCTATTGCGAATGACAATTTTAGCCATATCACCAATTATCTCCAGCCTTCATTGGTTTTTACCGTCCCGAGGACTGCGACCAGCAAGTTTACATCTCCCTACGTGACTGGCCTAAACTAACTGCTGTAGAATTCATGGACTGATGTTATGTTTTGATTTGACCACCACTAGCTTTTTTCCAATCTGATGTCAGCTAACATTGGCCGTCGAGAAAAGCGATGACTAGGAATGCGTAACCATCTCGAACGAAGCCTAACTTTAATATTACTCACCCTATTATACCACCTAACACGCGAGATAGAACACAGGCACCTATGATCAAAGACAGATAGTCTTTTCATGTCTTCCATTCTCAATGGCCAGGTCTCACAAGCATAAAGGAGGACGGAGCGGACTGCTGAGGAATACACGCGCCTTTTGGTCGATAGCTAGCTGTATATCACTTCTACGCCAGAGTGGCGTAAGTTGGCATTTGTCAAACTAGCCTTCAGTATCCATGTTGAGATTTCATCAGCGATTGACCGACTGGCGTTGTCTGATGCAAATTCGCAGATAAGTGAAGTGGTCAACATGCTCAGCCACCATTTCACTTCTATCTATCTGTAGGCTAGAAGTCAATGTAATCCATACCTGCAGCATCATCTTGCATTTGACGAGTGCGAACTGCATGCCAAACATTCGAAGATTGCTGCTCAAGGTGTTCAGAAGACTCTGCATGTTGTCAGTATCTTCGTCTAGAAGGACTATATCATCCGCATATTCCAAGTCAACGACCGTGAACAGTGGTAGGTGACAGAAGCGAAAGAGCTGGGAAAGGCATCAACGATAGCTAACACCAGACAACCAGGGAAACAAGTGGCGAAGGAAAATGGTAAGCGAAACAATCTCCAAGAAAAATAGCGCCTTAATCAGCTCTTAGGATAGACGACTGGAACGTTGGAAAGAACACTGAAGAGCAATTTAACTGGCCTACAGCCATGCTCAACTTATCCAGCATCCAACACTTCCCTGAACGGGAAATAAACATAGGTTCTCCGTCCCTAACTGGGGTTACAAAAGTTGTCTCTGATCTGAAACGAGGCAAAGCAGTGGGACCTGATGGAATGACTTCAGAGGTGTTTAAAGATGGTGGAGACACTGTACTGTCTGCGTTAACTAAGCTATTAGGCAACTTCTGGGAATCAGAGGTAGTCCGGTCGGGCTGGTGTAAGGCATTAATTATCCCGATATTCAGGAAGGGAGACAAGTCCTCCTGTGATAATCACAGGGGGATTAGCTTGTTCTAGGTTTAATAATCATGCATAGACTAAGCGTAAGATAATGCTACAGGACTGGATGACATTGACTCCTAGCTTAAAGATGGGGGGGGAGGGGGTAATTAATTATTGTACGAAGCTGTGCTGTGTGTTGCTTATGTTAGGACTAAAGCGTCTGGTCAACTGATATTCTTTGGGGTAGAGCTTCCAACCGTATTCTAATTATCATTTACAGAAATATGGCCAACAAAAGATCTGAAACTACTGTTCAGCACTTTAATTCATTGATTAAAACTTAAGTCAGGAGACGAAAAATAAAGCAAATATGGTATCTTAGATACAATGAGAATAAGCTTTAAAACATATATCTGTATCACTTGAACTGTATTACGTAGAGTAATTAAAAATATCCGTATCGACAATCCACAAAGTCTCTAACTGTTGGTTTAGTGGGCTGATGCAAACTGGTTCGCTGGGTTTTTGTTTAGGTTATTAACAGCCAGTAGCTGCAAGTTGTTAATGACATGGCTCAAATTTGTTCTTAGTAGTACGGATGTCTTTACTCCCTTTTATCTCGCAGATTCTGTAATTATTCTTCCTCCTGTACATTTTTGTATTTTCATTGCAGTTTCTTCTCTGTCTTTATGTGTAATAAAACTGCTACACTTTTGTGCATAGTTTTATGTCGAAATTCAGTTTAATTCAGTATCCGTATCGGCTGTCTAATAGACTCCAACCAGATAAAATGCATTTATTTTTTATCTTCCAGACCGCTATTACAAGGTGCCTAAAGTATTGATAATGCATCTAAGTCTACTTTGGGTGTTTGCCTAAACTGAAAGTACTTCAGTTGACAATGAACATTCTGAAGTACGCAGTGGGTTGGCTTACGTAGCATCCACCGGCTGCTTCTGTCACTGAGATTTTTATGAAGCGATCCACTGGACTAAAGTATCTGAAAGAGATCTCAGACTCCCAATTTGTGAAAACAACAGACAGCTATCCGGCTTAACCTGGTGTGATAAATAATACAGGAACATTAGTTGCAGTGAGTGTACCTTGTTAAGTCGTTGCGGTATACAAGCCCAAATACAAACGCCAATATATTGTCTATCGATAGGACATTTAGCCTCTGAATGAATATGGTAGTATATTTATCAAGCTTTAGTTATCAGAGTCTTTTTGCAGTGGTTGGCTATCTACACCAGTTTAACGAAACTATCGTAAAGTAATTAATACTTAGGGTAATTTTATCGATCATTTGAAGTAGTCAGACTGGTTATGTCTGCTGCATTACGTCATTTCAGATTAGACCAAAGTCCGAGTTTTTTTTATTCTTGGGTTTGGTGGTGATCGATTGTGATATATGTATAATGTATGTATAAAACTTAGGCACTGTGGAATTCTATATTGATTTGTTAATTGGATGCATCGCACATTGAAACAATTGCTTACTGAATGACGAGGTCCTATCCGCTTTCAAGTACTAATTGTATCCCTCAAACTTTCATTGCCAGACTCGTCTTCCACCGGAAGTTAACAGGATATTGTTGGTAAAAAACTTACCGTATAACATATCAGCAGAAGAAATGTATGATATATTTGGGAAGTATGGTGCTATTCGTCAAATTCGTATTGGTAACACTCCTGAAACTAAAGGCACTGCTCTGGTTATTTACGAAGATATCTTCGATGCGAAAAATGCCTGTGATCATCTCAGTGGCTTCAATGTGTGCAATCGATATCTTGTAGTTTTATATTACCAGAGGAATAAGGTAATTTCTGCTTTCATGTTTTTTTTTAAGAGAAAAATATACTTTAACTGCATGGTAATTCATTTGTGTATGAATCATCAGCATTCCTTGTTTATGCTTGATATATATATATATATATGTATATATATATATATATACGCATATATGTTTTTAACGCGTATGACTGTGATACATTGGGGGATAATTGAAGATCATGTGAAGATCAAAAGAATGATCCTTATTGTGTATTGGATCATCTGGAATGAATTGTGTGTTCAATTACACCTTCCTTTAGTTCTCATCTAACCGAAAGGACTGTAAATGCTGCTCGTAAACACAGTACATTTTACATTTAATGGTGAACATTTCCTCGGAGTTGAAATAACTAACCCTTTAAGGAATGTTGCTAGTTGGTTTTCACATAAAGTGAGAGGATTTCGACCAAAAATTTAGACAACGAGTTTCATTTTTAGGACAACAAAAGTGATTATACTTGTACATATCAAGCGCTGATCACGACATGCCATATTTGGGTATAAAGCTTTTTAGAAGGAAAGACAAGTTGATTTGATCAGTCTATAGGAAATATTCGGATATTATCAATTCGATTTAGCGTGTTTGTCTAGGAAAATTCTACTCATTTGCACATCAGATATATTAGAACAGGAAATCGAGCTGTTATCCAAAATAAGCTGCGTTGTAGAATCTAAGTATATGCAGAAGACGGCTCATTTTGAAGGTCTATTCAGCATATCTAGTTGATAGAATATTTGTGTGATTAGGTGACAGTCAAACAGCATAAGTTTAGGAGAGAGCTGAATTCAACTACGGGGGAAATATATTGTGGAATGAAGTTTGTCATTTTTGTGCATGTTTTACATTAATACTACGGGTTTTTTCCTAGTATTAATGGTCACCTTGGTGTATTTCTTTGGTCTCACTTCGTATTCACAATGTTGTGACAAGTAGATATACGATCAAATTATTTGAAGTATACTGTGCAAACAGTTGATTACTTGTCTGATAAAATTAGCTCCAATGACAGTACTGTAGTGAGATGTCCGCCAATTCTACACTTACCTGTCCAAATAAATAAGATACATGCTAGATTCAGCATTCAAGATCCTGTTCAAACTACATTATTGCAAAGTTCAACTCTATTTTCCTTTTGTAACTGAAATTGTTTGATTCATGAGCTTTAATGTACTTATTACTGCAATAGCATCAAATCTACCAGTGCAATACTATTATTACTGCAACTCTTATAAACTGTGTAGACGATCCCAATATTAGACAGTGGTTTCACTTATCTTTTAACACATGTTACCAGGTTATCACTTAATGTTGTACTATTTGGAAGAAATAACATTTCAGTGTTTAGGCTTTTTTAAAAATTCCATTGCGTTCCCAGTGGAGCGTAGTGCTTTAAGCTTGAGCTTTGGAGTTTCAGCAGTAGTGGCGTTTTTTGTCTTACGCGGTGGGGTTATTAACCTCATTCCCAGCCTTCCCTATTTGTCGGGATACGACGGGCTAGGGGAGGTGAAGGTGTGCACTCGCCGGGAGTCGAACCCCATACATACCACGTGGCATGGTGGTTGGTGAGTATTCCACCTCTGAACCACCGACTCACATAACCATGGAGTACTGGACAGATGTGTCGTCCTAGATTAGGAATCTTCAAGAGCGCCCACTCATGAGCAGCCCACCAGGAGTTGGACCCACACGACTTTCAGGTTACAAGTCAAGCTCGTTTAACATTGTGCCATCAGGACTGGTGTTTGAGCTACAGCAACATAACTACTAAGAAGCGGTCGGTAGTGGCAGTCAACTGCGAAAACCGTAAGGAAATCTTACTCTGATGGAACCAGAGTAAGTGACTGACTGACTGTTAGATGCATCATCATTTTCACCAGATATATACATTGCATTCACAGTCGAAATTCTTTGCAAGCAACACTAAGTGTGTTCATTTTATTGTGTCTGTATCTATGTGCGGTGTATGTGTGTGTGTGTGTGTGGTGCGTGCGTATGTTTTGTTTTTCTTGCCTTCATAACAATTATTTTTGTCTTTCAGCAATTTAAGAAAACTGATGTTGATAAGAAGAAGGAAGAATTAGACCGGCTGAAGGCAAAGTATGGTTTAAATACTCCAAAGGTGAAATAATTTTCGGCATTTGTGTGAAGAACTGTCCGATGAATTATCTTCATCTGAATTCTTCGAATGTCTGTGTGTGTGTGTGTGTGCGCATTACACACAAAGTTGTAATTTTAACAATTTTTTTTCACAATTATAATTATTAAATATTTTAAATATTCTGTATAAAAAAGTTACATAGAAATCATTGTTTTCTAAAGAACACAAAAAAGAAAAATTATGATATCTGAATAGTGAAAAAAGAAGACAAAACAAAACAGGACAAAATTCAGTAGTATCACAATTGTGCCGTGTTTGTTGGTAGATGTGGCGGGGGGGTGGGTAATGGAGTAACATGAAGTATTGTCTGCATAGAGCAAAGTGCATTCACACACATACACATAGATAGCGCATAAATAGTAATTATACATATAACCAAACAATAAGGTAGGTAGATAGGTATGAATGAGAATGCACAGGATTATTTAGCTGTTTTTTTTTAAAATTTACTATTTCTATATTTGACAAATGATACATAGTGTTGAAGTGTTTGCTTGTTTGTTTGTTTGTTTATTTCCTAATCATCATCAGTGGAGGAGGTGTAAATTGTCTTCCTGAAATGCTGTTAGAAGTAATTCAGTTGAAGTTAATATTATTATGTTTATACTACTAGTGAGTGCTTACTATGACTATTATTATTCTCATGACAGTAGAAAGAAAGATTACGAAAAATGGTTTGATTTTGATCATTTTCATCACCTTGAGCGATCATCAACTTCTGATTTGAACAGTTTACACCTATCATAGAAGAAAATACAAGGAAGCGATAAGTTGAACAGTTAGTTATAACAGGTTAAATTGTACAATTTTTATAGACAAATTTGACGAATTGATTTGTTTGGTACTGAAGACGTAAACAAATGGTGTTATTTCAGGATTTCATCATGAGATGACATTAGTTAGAGAACCATTGGAAAACCAGCTGGGAGTACTGGACAGCTGTTTCGTCCTAGTTTGGGACTCTTCAGCAGTAACCAACCTACTGAGGTTCGAACTCCTAAAATCAATCAAATCCCTACAAACCAACACTTGAAATGGTGTTACTGTTTGACAACAAAGGATAGTTTTGAAATAATAGAGAAGATTTGTAGCTCGCTCAGGTGGATGATTTGCAATTAATAGTGTTCCCTGAGCTGGTTGGTTTAGTTGCCGAACTTTCGTCGTCCTTCTGGACAACATCTTCAGTCCAAGTTTTAGCATAAAGTGAAATGATTAAAATTTTTCATGAGTGATATAGTTGTGTTTCCTGGTAACCATCTTGACATATAGACAATTATGGACATCAGTTTGATAACTGGGATAATGTCGAAATCTTAGACAGAAGAAACACCAAAAGTGCAGTCAGGGAATTCCTAGAAGCCTGGTACTCAAACGAATATGCAATCAGCAACAAACACGTTAATATAGACCAAATATACCAACTAATAAAAAGTAAATCAGGTGACCAGAAAGTTTAAAATCCAAGTCAATAGAAAATGATCAGTACATATGTTAAGATGGTTACCAGAAGACGCAATTATATCACTCATGAAGCAATTTAAATCATTTCACTAAAATGAGGGGTGTTGTCCAGAAGGGGAACACAAAAGTGTGCAACAAACCAACAGCTCAGAGAACACTATTAATTGCAAAAGGATAGTTTCCTTTCATCAAATAGGGGTAGGTTTAAGGAATTTTTTTTTAAATGTATTATCGCCCTTCAGAGTACCTTGGATGCATTGCCATAGAAACACCTTTAAAATGAAGGAGGAATCAGAGTTTAGGCGCGTGTTTTGTTTGAAATAAAGGTAGGCTCAGTGGGTTCACATCACTGATAAGTAGGTCTCCTTTTATTAAAAGGCACACAAAAGAGACAAAATCGTTGTCTTTAATTTTTACCCAGTATTGATATTATTTTAAGACGTATTCATAGTTGCATTCATACAGAGGAACGTAACCTTCTAAACTGTCTTCTACTGTTACAAATTTAAGTGGTGAAATGACGCGAGTGTTCAAGCGGAGTTACTGATACGTAGTATATAGTACTATCTGTTAGCTGCGCTTCACAGTCGTAATTATCACTTTCAAGTTTGACCACTGATTGATATCAGTTAGACAACGATTGAAAACCAGCCGGAAGTACTGGACAGTTGTTTCGTTGTAGTTTGGGACTCATCGGGATCTCCTACCCAACAGGGCCTCACGGTTACAAGTTAAGCTCACCGACCATTCATTCAGCCACTGGGGCCTGACTTAATGGTCCTTGAATTCCAACTTCTGCCAATTCGTAATTTTTACTTGACCATGAAAGTACAGGAGGTTTATGCAAGTGGCGATAAGAATAACGAAGGTATTATGTTCATGTAAACAGTCCAATAAATAAATTAGGTCAAATCTTAAGAGTTACGTAATATTAATGGTGAAATGGATAGATAATCAGAGTTTAAATAAGTATCATAAAATTCAAGTATTGGTTTGTGGGGATTTGGTTGATTGGTTACGGGATTTCATCATTAGCTGACACTGGTTAGAGAACCATAGGAATTGGCAGGAGTTAGAAGTCATGAGCCATTGGATCGGGTCTCAGTGGCTCGATGGTCTACGAGCTCCCCTTGTAACCAGAAGATCCTGGGTTCGAACGCCGGTGGGTGCGTACTGCTGAAGAGTCACAAACTAGGACGAAACAGCTGTCCAGTACTCCCAGGTTTCCAGTGGTTCTCTAACCAATGTCAGCTCATGATGAAATCCTGTAACCAAAAATATCATAAAATTAAGAAAGAAATGAAAAATAAGAATTTGTGCGAAGCTTTTTAATTAAAAATTTACCTAGGCCAAGTGAGAAGTGGAGGCAGAACAAGCTTATTTTTATACAAAGACAAGGTTTGTTTCCTCAAATACCCATAGCTTCAGGTATGTGTAAAAGACGGGTTCAAATCCCCTTCTAGAGGTTCGATGGAATGCGATGGATAGCCTCACAATTAAGTTGTTGTAAAGACCGGTATTAATCAGAAAACAAACTGAAGTAAAATGTAAACAGAACTCTGTAGGTTGAATTTCAAATTCATTGAAAAAAGGGGGAATGTAAGGGGATTAAGTGCCAGCCTAAGAAAATGGTAATGTGAAAAGTTATTAAAACTAATGACTCATTTCATTAGACTGAATAAGGCTTGGACTTGAATGACCCTTGAGTGATACCTGTCTGAGTAAGTGGTCTCACAGAGAAATGTAGCAGTTCGGGTTGTCATCAGCATAGTGTAAGAATTTTTTACACTATGCTGGGCGTCTGTGGATAAAGTCGTGCTTCTGAGGAACAAAGATGTAACAGCAGTGAGGTGTTCCCCTCATAACTAGCATGCCGACTATGCTGCCTCTCCATTTTGGAGAAGTGGGGATTGGAAGAGGTCGACCCCAAGAATTGTACATTACAACTTACCTTATGGTGGTGGTCCGTAGCCAGCGGTAGACAAAACAGGCTGTGTGTGTGACCGGTCTCAAGCAGTTATTCTCTGAACTCTGCGGTCATGCAACACTAATTCTCTTTCTACTTCAAGGACCTCAAGAAAAAATCCTGGAGTGCCTACCTGTTATCATGTTTTTTAAATAGGTACTTAATTATTTCACTACTACTACTGTGGTGGTGTGATACAGACAATGTGTGCCAACGGAATATTATTCTCACATGTTCCCACAGTTCAATTCGCCATTAACACCAGAATACGATATATCTATTTGTGAACACTCTATTTGATGTTAAAGTCGGAATGTTATCCCCACTGATCACTACTGCATGCAGTATATCTATTTGAACATTCTATTTGGTGTTAGAGACAGAATACATTTCCCACGGTTATATACTGCATTAACAACAGAATACCAGATATGTATGTATTTGAACATTCTATTTCATGTTGTTTGATGTAAACCGAAATCGCACGCTGGCTCAGTGATTGGTTAAAGAATATAAACTGTGTAGATATATGAACAGCGGTTTGATCAATGGAAAACATACTTTGGCTTCTGTGTCTTGTCTTACTACTGCTTGAATAAAGTCAAGTTATCGTAATTTGGTTCTTTTCTTGTTTTCTTAGCTTATCTGTTCCAGTAGGTAACAATTAGAGTAGGTATAAGGGAGTTTTAAGTATGTACCTGTTGTTATGTTATTGTGATAGTGATGAAGATTTTTGGATTAAGTGGATTAGTGAGTTTCTGAACACATAAAATACCCAACACGTCTATTCTCCTCGTAGTATCGAAGTGAAGAAAGACTATTGTTAACAGTTTGAATTACAAGAGTTAATCTAAAACTAGGGACAGTCAACAGCTGTTGAAATTCCTCCTCTCACACTTTTGTGAAGCGTAGTTTTTTGTAATGCTCCATCTTTTCTATGTTGGATAATTAAGGGAGTTCTCCTTCCTTCGGTTATTATTAGGATCAACGTCGCTCAAAGCCAGAGATAGTTCTTACCACTAAACTATTTAAGGTGCATCTAATTCTCAATAGGACTGAATTAATTCTGCAAAATGAATGTTAGAAATTAACGAAATAAAGATTGTAAGGGAGATGAGTAGTATTGAATGGCTTTAAACAATAACCATTAGGAAAAATCTTTTGATTACATAGATCATTAGATTCCGTCCTCTTGACTAAGCCGTTATTATAAGGCTGAAGGCAATCATGAGCCTGAACAGCTCAGTGGTAATGTCACTGACTGCAGAACTGGGTGACACTGGTTCGAATCTCAGAAGGGATATAAGTTCCTTCAAGACTGTTGATACGCTTTGCTGACTGGTGAGTGACAAGAAGCACGAAACGTAGGTCGAAGGCTTCCTGCTGATTGCCTCCATTCATCTAATAACAAGAGTGCGCTGTGATGAAGAACCACCTAGTATGTTGGCCACATTGCAAACTTGACTAACTGACTGGTTTCAACTTAGAAATTTGCGCAGATGTGCAGCGGTTCGAGTCGCCACACTCCATGTAGCACACAAAGCAAGAGAAGAGAGTAAAAAGAGATTCAAAACAGATGAGGTAAAAACAATAGTAATATGGAAGAACGAAATAGTTCTATTGGATATTATAAGTCACAAGCAGTGGATGCATCTGCGCTATTGAGAATGAAGATTTTGAGCCATATACCACCAATTGTCTCCAGTCCTCATTGGCTTTTACCATCCTGAGGACCCCAACCTGACAGCAGTCAACACCTCCCTACGTGACTGTTATGGATTTCATCGACTGATGAAGTCATTTTTTGGTTTGACCACCACTAGCTAACACTTTTCCAACCTGATCAATCCTGTGTCAACTAACATCGCCTGTCAGTCGAGGAAGGCGATAGCTAAGTACGCGTAACACATGTCCTAACCTAACTTGTTTGGTAGAATTCATCCGGCACCAAACAAAATACTAGACGCTTGACACTAGTTACTATCCAGTGTTCAATCGAAGGGATTAGACCGTTAATATGGCGGCTATAATTACTGATATTTTTTTTGGTTTCACCCAACAAAGTCTATGAAACAGTCTTAAAACAAGGCAAAACTATTATCTAATACTAGTTCATGTTATTGTGTAAATGTTTATTATTTAACCGGTGCAAGGGGAGAAGCCTTATCAAGGCATTAAAATATTAGAAAAATAGTTAACCATTTAGAATATGCAGACGATACAATCCTTCTAGACGAGGACGCTGACAAAATTCCGAGTCTTCTGAACACCTTGAGCTGCAATCTACGAATGTTTGGCATGCGATTAGCTGCCGCCAAATGCAAGGTGATGTTACAGGACTGGACCACACTGACTCCTATTTTAGAAATAGGGAGTGAAGTGGTAGAGCACGTTGACCGCTTCACTTATTTGGGAAGTTGAATCAACCAGCGCAAACGGTCTGATCACTGACGAAATCAGCACGGATACAGAGGGCTAGTTTCGCATATGCCAGTTTACGCCGTTTCTGACGTAGACGTGATATCGACCAAAGGGCGGGTGTACTGATCAGCGGTCCGCTCCGTTCTCCTTTATGGCTGTGAGACCTGGCCATTGAGAGTGGAAGACATGAAAAGCTCACTTGGCTGTCTTCGATAATAGGTGCCTGCTTTCTGTCCCCTGTGTGAAGTGGTATAATAAGGTGAGGAATATTGAGGTTAGGCCTCGGTCTAGTGGTAGGTAAGGAGGGGTAATCAATGGACGAGCTGTGAAATTACATCAACTGAGATGGTTAGGACATGTGTTACGTATGCCTAGTAATCGCCTTCCTCGACTGATGGGCAGTGTTAGCTGATATAGGGTCAGGATGGAAAAAAGCTAGTGGGGGTCAAACTAAAACATGGCTGCACCAGTCAATGAAATCCACAACAGTTAGTCTAAGCCACATAGGAAGGTGTAGACTTCTTGACTGGTTGGGCTCCTCGGGACGGTAAAAACCACTGGCTTGAAACAATTGGTGATATGGCTCAAAATCGTTCTCAACGGCTGGCGCAGATGCATCCACTCCCCGTGACTTAGGATTTCCAATGAAACTATATTGTTCTTCGTTATTATTTTTCTTTGTCTTACACCTCTGTTTACTGTCTGTATTATGCATTTCTTCTACTTTCTTCTCTTCCTGTGTGTGCTACATGGAGGGAGTGTGGCGACTCGAACTGTCGCACATCGGTGCAAAGTTTTATGTCGAAAACAGACGGACAGACAGTTAACCATTTTGAAATGAAATTCAAAGAAACTTACATAATTTTTTAAATCTTGACTGTTAAATTCTCTTAAGTGCCACGGAATGCATAAAAGAGTTCATCACATCGTTCGGGTCCAACATGCTCTTCCAGTTGAGTTCGATTCATTGTATAAAGATCCATTCCATTGAATCCTTTCAAGGCAGATATAGTTCTAAAGTTAAAAAAAAATAAATATGATGAAGTTTTCTAGCAGGATAGTGTTCAATGGAGTCTTGTGTAAATGGCATACAGACTGTTTAACTGTGGTTAAGGATTTGATCACAGATGTGAAAGTACCTTATGATTTAAATTGTAATACTATCTGCATTTATTACTTTTATCATCTTATACTTATGGCTTCATTGATTACACCAATGATATGCAGTTGTACAAGATATCTTTTCATTAACTCATATCTCTGCGATAACTGCCAAACGCTGTCTATAGTGCTTAAACTGGTATGATGGATTTCCACATAAGATATAGATATTTCATTCTACGCCAGCTCCAAGCCTTCTTACGTTTATTATTATTATTTATATGAAATACAAATTTGGTACAGTATGGGCACCAAGAGACTTATACGCTACAAAACAATATTAAAACAACAGTATACACAGAAAATAAGCACAATAAATGAGGGACGTCGTTCACAAAGCATATTTGTCAACATTATTCAAAATTCATTACTTCATGCTGCATTCAGAAAGGGAAGAAAGAAGGAAGTTGTAGTATGTTCACCGTTGTTTGCGATTGTTGGTCATATCCGATAACGTTTCGAGCTACCGATTTTAACTATCTCTCGGATCCCAACTAAGAAGTCATGGTGTCGTACTAACTGATTCTAACCTAACACAAATATTCTTCATACTACTGTGTCACGTCACAGGCTGACCACCTTTCTGCCTTCTCCATCCTGTCCTAGGGATAGGGAACAAAGACCAGTACTGAAGCCACCTGGATGACATTCGTGGCACATGTCCGAGCCATCGAAGCTGATGTTTCCAGGTGACGACACTCAATGAATAGTTATCTCCACGGTGTTCAAACACACGCTGTAGAGCCTCAGATTTACTCACACGGTGGTGCTACCGGACACAAGCAATCTGTGGAGATAGGGATGATTGAATACACAGATTCGCCTTACACCCTCAGCTTGGAGAAGCTAGGTTTCACAGGCGTAGAGAAAGACTGCGCCCACCGAATCATTGTAATCCCGACGTTTGTAACCCAAGCTGACATCGCCATGGCGCCAGAGGTGGCTCAAATTGATGTATGTCACCCTAATTTTCACTATACAGTTAGAAACCTCGTCCGTCAGACCAATAGCACTTATACAGCTATCCAGATACGCAAATTTGTTGATAACTGTAGGTGGTTGACCTAAAAGGGTGGGTGCAAGTAAGGGTTCCTGCCAATCTCACAACAGTACCTTGAACTTCGACGGCAGAAAACACATACCATACTTATAGACACTGACACTAAGTGTGATTTCGGCAGCTTGCATTCTATCTCACAGTAAGGCGATATCGTCTACATATTCGAGGTCGAAAAGTCTTTCTCCTGGAAGCTGTCCTCTTAATCTGACCCCACTATTGCCCATAGTTTCTCATCTCCTTACACGATCACCCTCGAGAGCCCCACTCGAGGGCCTGGCACGCCATCTCACCCAACCGTCTCAGCGTATGCCCAAAGCATCCCTACTTTCTTCTGCATAACAGTAATATATATTGTAAATTGTTAAAAATTTTCAAACAAACATTTCAATCATTTTTTTGTTTTTACCTTAATAAACTACTTACTTTGGTGAAAATTGATGAGCTACTAACCATTCAGCAACTTCTTCTTGTGATGCAAATTTAGATAATCTTTGATCTGGTTTATCAAGTGTAGTTGTTGGTATAGGAACTGACTTGAGACCACTTCCTCCGCCAAGTTGCATTTTAGAAAGTCTTTCTCTTAATTCTCTTGTCATAGTATGCATATGAGTTGCTAAAATATATATATATATAATATATATAAAATATATATATACATAAGATGAATATGCATAATAACTTGAATATCCCTATAATCGATTCAGAGTGAAAATAATTAAAGTGAACAGTTTGTGCTTTCAGTAAATTCTTCTTCAGGATCTACAATTAGAATATCCATTAGATTCAGTATACAATAACCAGCCAGTAAAGCAAATTACAGTTATATCAGAAAGTGTATTGTGTGATACGAGTACAAGATGGAATAATAGTCATTTAGTTTTGATTAGGATTTGGAAATTTGTATGGTGAATAAGAACATGAGATGAGATAATTCAATGAAATGTTTGTGTATAAATATATAGTCAACAAAAGAACAGGTTACAAGGGTGAGTGTAGTCAGTAGTTTGTGAGACAAGATAAATATCATTGATATAAATATAAAACTTGGTCACTGTGGTAGAGTATAACTCCATTATGGATAAGATTTTATTTTTATAAGTCACACAGTGTTGTTGTACAGTAATATTAACTGATGACCACCTTTCAAGCACAATGTATTGCTGCTCATAATCATATTAAGTCACTCGCACAACTTTTCCTTCATTTATATACATGTACTCGAAACGTCACCAGTTAATATTACTCGTGTAACACTGTATGACTTATCAAAATAAAATCTTATCCATAATGGAGTTATACCCTACCACAGTGCCCAATGTGTAGAATTAACTGGATATTTAAATTAAAATCATTATAGGATAATGTACATTCAGAAGTAATAACATGAGTGCTATTGAAACATGAGTGCTATTGATCAATTACAGTGAGATGGGAAATACGACAAGTGTTTTTATAGTCATAATAAGTAACTCGTTAGAATGTTGTGATGTGCTTGAATTGAAATAGAATTTTAAGATTATTTATTATCCTGCTCTGATTTGACTGACTGATGGTAATAATATCTTCCATATTTCTGGTATTTGCATTGAGTCATTTCTGTTGCATCTGTTGGGTGTAGACTCAATGAACGAGGATTCAGTAATCAATATATATATATATATATATATCTCCACCTACGTAGATTACTTCTTAGAATCTTAACCCTCTCCCACCCTATTGTGTGATTGTGTGTTAATGCATGTTGTGCAATTGCTGAGCTTTTTTCTAAGCTACTTATCTTCTCTGGGTCAAACATTCTAACCTTAGCTAAATTCTTACGTTCCGCCAACCTGATTACCCCCGATCTACTAGTTTGACCTATGTAGTTAACATAACTCATAGTCATTGCAGGGTATTTTGTAAATTATACTATTTTGTTTAATTGGGTCCACGGGGTCTTTTAGCCTACAGAGCTTGTCTCTGAGAAATAAACCAACAAATGGGATAGACTTGACGTAAGTTCAAGGATGACAAATAACAACAGTAATGATGATGGTGAAATAAAAACGATGGTGTGGTGTAAACTTAAAAGTACTAATAGTGAACGGTTAGCGATTACTAAAAGAATATTTCGTCTGACTTTTTACATTAAGAAGTTGAGGCATTCAGGCATAACCCAACCACTCCTCTTACAGTTTGTCAACTCTCGTATTTTACCTATTCTTCTTTACTGTTCACCCTTGCTTATTCTTTCCTGGATTGCTTAAAAAAAGACTATGTCATACTTCGTAGAACTCTGAAGACTGACTGTCAGTAGGGCGAGTAGTATCCCATTGGGCCACATCGTTGACATGGTCATTAATAGGCACTTGATGTCATGCAACAAATTCGCTAAAGGAATTTTGTCAGACTGTGAGCATCCAGACCGCAGCACCCTCAGCTCCAACCTTGTGTCTCCTCAGGTAAAACAGGAAGTCTTTTCAGAAGACTTTATGGACGTACGTCTAAGTATAAAAATTCCACTATACCAACCACATTTGGAGCGTACTTTATGTGATGAAAATAGTGTTAGGCATGAACTAACAAACCTTATAACATCAACCTTTATTGTTATTGTACTTCTTATATTTATAATCCTCTCAATTTTTTGTTAATTTTTGCATAAATGTAGTAGTGTCCCTCACCACTATCAGCTACATATATTAGATTCAATAATCCATAACAAGCTAAAATTTCCAAACTGAATCGACAATACTGTTTGAAACAAACTCACAATTAATATTATTATAGTAATATTTAATATTCTTAATTCGTACTTCGAATATTTTTGACTTTATATCTTAAATGTGGACAAATTCCTCTGGTTAATTTTTTCTTTATATGTTTAATTTTAGAAAACAGAAAGATTGAGCGAAGAAATATTTACTTTTCAATTAGATCCTCATCTCTGGCTCTACTCTAATATATATAGCATTTTAATTACAATACACAACAGTTTGCCAATCAAGTGGCGATAAGTTTGTTAACAATAATTAAACAGTGTCAATGGGTTAATAGTTAACAAACTTATCGCCACTTGATTAGCAAACTGTTGTGTATTGTAATTAAAATGCTATATATATTAGAGTAGAGCCAAAGATGAGCATCTAATTGAAAAGTAAATATTTCTTCGCTCAATCTTTCTCTTTTCTAAATGTCTAAATGGGGATATTTTCTTTATTGTTTAATTTTACTCATATTTTGAGTAAATCAGATGCAGTATTATGATAAATGCTGAGAATTCCATTCTGTATTATAAGTACTGTTTTTAGAATTAAGCAGATTATTATTATTAAGAAAATAACGAATTTAGTAAGGCGGAATAAACAAAATGGTGTAAATATCATGACAAGTTAGAAAAGCATTAGGTAAACCCAAAGGTAATCGTCATAATAAGAAAGGTCACGAAGTCCTTAAATGGTCTGAAATAAACGTTTGTCAATGAAACAGGGAAAAAGAAGAAAAAAAAATGGGATAGGAACTAAATGTACCAATGGTTATGGAGGACAAGTTGATATTATTTTCAGGCCAAGGTAAACACAGAGGTTGGGACATACTTCTTCGGTATACAGACATCAAGTCTTCTGGTATTGATTGTTGCCGCTTCAACTACTCATGGATGTAGTCAGGCTCCTCTGGATAGATTAGAAGTAATACGGTAAATGACAACTCCTGCTGTGGTTTTATTTAGTGTCCAATATATACTAAGTTGACTGGGACTGCATTATTTAAGCATTTAGTTTCCCCCTTACTAAAGCATACAGGTACATGTTCACGTACATATGTATTTGTTTGTATATTCCTCTGTAATATTTATCTTGTCTCACAAACTACTGACTACACTCACCCTTGTAACCTGTTCTTTTGTTGACTATATATTTATACACAAACATTTCATTGAATTATCTCATCTCATGTTCTTATTAACCATACAAATTTCCAAATCCTAATCAAAACTAAATGACTATTATTCCATCTTGTACTCGTATCACACAATACACTTTCTGATATAACTGTAATTTGCTTTTACTGGCTGGCTATTGTATGCTAAATTTAATGGATATTCTGATTGTAGATCCTGAAGGAGAATTCATTGAAACTACAATGATTCAATGGTGCGCTGGCGGCACAGCGTTGAAATGCTCGCCAGGCATGCAAGTGGTCCTGGGTTCGATCCCCGGCCGACACACTCCTTTACCTTGCTAAACCAACAATAAGATTGGTAAAGATCGAAGGTTGGTTTTTTTGATGTGATTGTGTTGTCTGAGCTGTATGTTTTACTTGAGAAGCTTTCATTGTCCTACTAGACGACATCTTCATCGCATACTTCAATTTGAATTGAAGTGAGCTTTTAGATTTCTCCACGAGCTTATCAGTCATCTCTCTGGTGCGTGACCTTGAAGGTGATTGGTTGTTTTGGTGACTTTTCACACCCTCTAGGCTAATTGTATTAGACCTGAGTGTTTCCTTGACTTGAAATTTGACCCTTTGTGTGTGAGATTTCCTTCTTATCGATTGATAAATTTCGTCGAAGTCAGTGTGTCTATTGATTGAAGATTCACTGGAATACGAGGCTTCTAAAAATTCTCTAGCATTCTTGATGTTTCCTCTGTCTAATATTTGAACGTTGTCCCAGTCGAATTGATGTCCGTGGTTGTCTGTATGTAGTGATATGAGCGAGGGAGTGGATATCATGTCTTTTGACGGCTAGCTTATGTTCGTTGATACGAAGACGAAGGGGACGTCCACTTTGGCCAATGTAGTGTTTCTCACAGTTGTTACAATTTATTTTGTAGGTGATGTTGGTTTTGTCTCCTTTAGCTGCTGAGTCTTTAGTTTAACACACAGCTGAGTGGAGTGATTTTGTTGGTTTGTGTGTGGCGTCAATTCCTTAAGGTTTGAAGAGTCTTGCAGTGATTTCTGAGGTGTCTTTTATATATGGTAGGACGATTGTCTTTGCGCCTTCCTTGGGGGCTTTTGTTTTGATAGGCTGGCTTGGTGAAATTCCGTGGATATCCATTCTTTTGGAAGACGTCCATGAGATATCTTTCTTCAATTTCCCTTTGGGTGGGAGTGCTGCAATGAGTCCTGACCCTCTTGAACAGTATTTGTATACACCTCCTTTTGTGTGTTATTGGATCTTTGCTGTTGTAATTCAGTATTTGGTCCGTGTGAGTTGATTTTCTATAAACTTGAGTTTCTAATTCCCCTGTGGTTGTTCGCTTGACTAAGACGTCCGAAAATAGGATTTAGTTCTAGGATTCCTTTTCTCTTGTGAATTTGATGTCATTGAAAATGTTGTTTATTAAGTTGTGAGTTTTATCTAACTCGTTTCTTTGATAATTACAAATGTGTCATCTACGTAGAATATCCGAATTTCGGGTTTGATCTTTGATAGGATTATGTTGTCAAGCCTTTGCATTACTGCTTCTGCAATCAAACCTGATATTGGCAATCCATCCCATTGGTGTTGCTTTAACTTGTTCATATATTTGGCCGCTGAATTGGAAGTACGTTGTTAGGCATAGGTTTATGCATTCCCGTGAGGCTAGCAACTGCATCCCGTAAAAATAATTACCACTGCTACTGAAACTT